CCACTCCTTTTTCTCGTCTATGTTAATGATCTGCATAATGCCTCAAATTTAACGACAGTGATGTTTGCCGATGACACTAACCTTTTTCTGTCCATTAGTGATATTGTTACACTTTTTAATAACATAAATATAGTGTAAGTTAAAATTTCGAATTGGTTTAAGACAAATAAATTATCAATTAACTTAGAAAAAACTCAATGGACTCTATTTCATCCTAAATCCAAAAAAAAACTTTTACCAAATGATATGCCTGAAATATATATTGACAATGTTCAAATAAAGCAATCAAAAGTTATACATTTCCTTGGTGTTTTCATTGATGAAAACTTAACATGGAAAAATCATATCGAAACATTATGCAATAAAGTCTTAAAAATATTGGAGTGTTGTATAAAGCGAAAAATTTTGTAAATAGACATGCATTAATTCAACTTTATTACTCGCTAATCCAATGTCATGTAAACTATGCTAACATTGCTTGGGGTAGTGCTAATAATAGTCAATTAGAACCTCTTTATCGGTAACAGAAGCATCTAGCACGTCTAATAAATTTTAAGGGGGTTGCCCAAGAAATAAACTTTTTTTTGACCCTGTGAATTTAATTAACCAAATTTTGGTATAAATGGCTGGTCTCAACTTAAAAAATATTTCAAACACACAAAACCATTTTTTTGTCTCGATTACCCTATTTTATCGCTAAAATGAGACAAAAAAATGAAATATTTCAAAACACAATATCTGCAGATGTGAAGATAGTTACTACTTCAAATTTTCATCATAGCTTAAGAACGATAGTAAAATCCATTTCACATATCAATTTTTTTATTGACTCACTTAGTCAAAAGTTATGCCTCTTTTAGTAAAAAGAGTGTTTAAAGCATAGTATTTTTTGTATAAATTTTACAAATTAAGAAGTTTTTTACCTCAATGAAGAAAAAGCCTATGATGTATGGATTATATATAATATATGAGTATTTCCTGAAAATTTCAACTTATTTTATCCATTCAATCTTGAGATATCATGTTTTAAAATTTTAAAAATTATGTAAAACCATAAACATGAGAAAATCAAGTTTTTGTCTAAAATAATAAGAAAAAGATGTTAAAAACCACCAGCAGTGTAAGATTCACACTTTTCACTTTCATTCTCTTTATCCATGTACCCTTTTTTGAATGCTGTTAATTTTTTTCTTTGTTTTTTAACGATTGGACTTGATTGCTTTTCCATTCTAGTAACACGTTGGCAATCTCGTGCAATAGATTTATCAGCAGTTGCCTTTCCATGTAAGCCAAAATGTCCTAAAACTGTATTAACCCCGCCATTCCCATCATTATAATGTAAAATAGCTGAGTTAATTGAACATTCAAATGTTCTTCGTTCAATAAAAACATTCTTGGGACATCGAGTCCATACAACTGAGTTGAACGATTCATTAGTGTTTTGAGTTTTGCGTGACCTACCTTCTTTTCTTTTAATTTATAAATTTATTTTATTTATTTAATTTATTGTTATTATTACCTATTTAATTTATTGTTTTACATTTTACATTTAAAAATGTTGCACTATGTTTCCATTGTTTTACATTTTACATTTACATTTTACATTGTTTTACATTTTACATTAAAAAATATTTTGCTTATTTCCTTTTGCCATTATTATATATTTAAGTCTAAAAGAGTAAGAACCAATAAAAATACAAATAAGTCATTAAACTACAATAAACATTCATAAAAATCTAATAAATAGTATAATTTATGTTGCATCACGTTGGTCAAAACAAAAAATATCCATTCAAATAATGACTTTTAGTTTATTAAAATCCATAAAACCTAAGATACACCAAACGACATTACTTTGATACGGAGTTGATGATTATTTGAAGAGGTAAACCCAAGATATTTGACACTTCAATTGAAGTCACAAATGAAGAAAAATGTCAAAAACAAAAATGTGAAGAAAAACTTTATATACCACTATATAAAAATTAGAAATAAAAGACTTTATATAAATTATACATATGAGATTCATATACCATTTTAAAGAGGATAAAATTCTGCTCATAAAAAACATTTAAAAAAAAAAAAAAAAAAATTCAAAAAAAATCAAGATTTATTTCTTGGGCAACCACCTTAAAGATCGTTATACTCATGCAAAACCTCTTTTAATAGACATGAATATTCTTAATATATATCAACTAAATGTTTTTAATGTTCTTTGCTTTATGTACAAATGTAAGATAAACTTAACCCCAATATTTTTTCAAAATTTATATGCAATAAAGCCAAGAAACAAATATGAATTAAGAAATCTTATCCATCAACATTATTCGCACACAAAATTTGGAAGATCTCTTATATCATATCGCGGAGCTTTTCTGTGGAACCAAATAGTGTTAAAAAACTTTGATTTTTCTAAAAATTGTAGTTTTCTTACTTTCAAAAATAAACTGAAAAAAGTTATCTTGACAATTCATAACATCTTCGAGTTTTTTTGAATATTTTATTTAAATATTTAGTTTTATTACATATTCTGACATTTTTTAACGGTATTTTATGTTTGGTTTTGGCTTATTAAAAATCTTGTATTGTAAATATCGTTATTTTGTCTTTATTTATTTTGTATCGCATTGTTAAACGGTTCTCGGTGACAGGATCTTGCCATCCTCTTCGAGTTTCCGTGTTCTTTTTATTTTATGTAAAACGATATTATACCAAATAAAATTGTAATAAGAACAAAAAAAAAAAAAAAAAAAAAAAAAAAAAAAATATTCTTGGCATTTCATTTATAAATTTTTTCTCCTATTGTTTTTAAGCCTTGTTTTGCTTTTTATTATCTGATTTTCTTCCAATAGTATTCTATATCTAGCATCAATATAAACTGCAGCTGGAAATATATCATTATCAAAAAGTTTTTCTACTTATTTCTGCATAGATTTTGAAATGTCTTACGCAAATATTCCGTAATTCTTCTCTAGATCAGATGTCAATTTCAACCATTCCTTTAGGAACTCTCTTAGAGTAATGTCGGTTCCTTAAAGTTTAAATGTCACATCATGTGACTTTTTTAAAAGATTGCGAAGATGACTAGATTTATCTCATATTTCAGGGCGCTGAAAGAATATCTAATCATCTGCAGCAAATTGCTTACTCAGTGGACGCAAAATTAATAATCTTTCAATCACCCGGGATGTAGAACCCCAGCGCGTTCATTATCCAAAATTGAAACAACCTTGTATTGCTTCCTAGCTAAAAATATTATATGTGAGTTTCTTAGTTTCATTACAAAATAACGTTCTTTTGCCAAAAGTTTAGCAATGTATGTTTTTTTTTAAATAATATGAATAGCTAGCTGCAAAGTGTGAATAACACAGCGTAATATCAGTAGTATCAGCCTAATATTAGTAGACAATTGTTGACTCCATTCTGGGTTGATAAAGGCTGCATAACAAATCAATGATTTTAACATAACTTCCTACCTTAAAAGGTAGAAAACTATAACTTAGGAAGGGTATATCACATATCCTTCTCTATTGTAAAAATTTCTACCTTTTTCACAGTGTGTATTTATGTGTTTCTTATTTTATCTTAAAACCTATAAACTGGCTTTCTGTTGTGCAATGCAATACATAAGTTTTAAAACTATAAGATTGAATTAAAGATAATAGTAATAATTAAAACTTTAAGCAGACACAAAAGAAATTTCCTGAAACTAAATGGCTCAAAAACCAATCGTACATTTTTGATTGTACATATTTCATGTACACAACCAAACAAAATTTTTTTGATTGCCTACATAAAATATGACCCAACCTAAATATTTTAGTTTAGTATAAAGCTGTCGGTACCCATTTCATTCATTCTTTAAGTTCATTAATCCTAATAACAAACTAACAATATTAACTTGGTCTGTAATAAAAGATCTTAAAACCTTGATGTTAAAAATTTTATCAGCTACAATTCACCAGAATTTATAAAAACATTTACTTGGTTTGTCGAAAATTGTAAAAATGCCTGCTTGGGTATCCGTCGAATGAACCGGCAGATATCCGTTAAAAACATTATTTTTTATAAAAGTTGTTCTTATAACAGTCAATAAAAACTTTTCGTTAAATAATTTCATTTATTAAGAGTTGTTTATTTTTACTTGTATTTTAATTTTATTTTATTTTTGGTATCAAGTCCCAACTACGGTTTAGAAATACTAGCATGAAACGAATATGCTAATATTTATAATTTTTCGGATGCCAAAATATGCACACCATCAATTGATCACATGCCCAGCAATTAAGAATGCACAATCTGATGACAATAAAGTTACAGGTATGCACATATATTTGCATATACTTGAGTGTTAAATAGCAGGGGCGGACGCAGGTTATTAGTTTACCCCGTCAAAAAAAAGGTGCCATACGCCATGTTGAAAGTGACGTAACTACACCCAGTGTGCAAACAAACGAAATTTAAAGGATAAAGGAGGGAGGGGGTAAGTAACAATTTTTGTGATTTGAGAGAGAAACTAATATTTTAGTTTTCCTTGTCTTTATGCGAACACAATTCAAAACTAAGTTAACCTTACTACCCAGCGGGCATTTTGACGTCCTAAGGACGTTTATAAGACGCCTTAAGTCTCGTCCGTAAGACGTCCTTAGTTGGTCTCAAATGAAAGACCTGAGGACGTCTATTCCGGACGTCCTAAAGACGTCTTTTCAAGACGTCCTAGGGACGTTTATTGTAGACGTTCTAGAGACGTTTTTTCAGCCGTCCTATGGACGTCTCTGGCAGGTCTCGTGTGAAAGACTTAAGGACGTCTTATTCAGACATCCTAGAGACATAAATTTACCTAGACAATCTTTTAAAAGTTATATAAAAATACAATGATATGCAATACACACCTTAGATGGCAAGTGAAGGTATAAAGAGAAATCAAAGTTCATAAAGTGTAATTTCATATATTTAAAATAAATTAATAATTTTACAAAAACTTACAAAAACTATTCAAA